GGAAGGGGAAAGAGGTGATAAAAAGGAAGACAGACAATACAGGAAATCTTAAACTGTGTTCTGAACTACAGGTAGTTGACTTAATGGGGGGAGGGGGAATAGTTGGTGTCTGGAACAGCAGCATAAAGTATGCATTCATATATTACAGAAACCAATACTGACAGAGATGGAGAAAGCATTTAATAGGCCTCTGCCATCTTTAATTTAATCTTAAAGCACTTTAAGTTTACTCTGCTGGTGACTCTCCTATCTCTTCCTGGATAACAGATGGCTGTTTGTGATCAACATACCAGACAGAAGCTTCTTTCACTTTAATGCATGAATGGGGAATGCTGCTTGTAAGTCAGACTACATGGCACAACAGGTGATTTTGCCACTTACCATCCAGCCCCATTTTTGTGATTCATTCATTAAAAACACATTTCGCATTTTGAAACAAGGAAAGTTCAAATAATGACCACATGTGTACATACAATTGGCTGCATAAATTATTATGAGACTGATAGGACATTCTGCAGTTACACTACTTGGAAACCTTACATTATGGAATCTTTTAAATTACTTATTTGAATCACTTGGGTGAACTGTTTGCATCAGATAATGGGTTTTTTGTTTTTTGTTTTTTGTTTTTTTTCCCCCTCAGTGGAGAGTTTCAGCTAAATGATGTGGCTACCCATAAGAACGAGAATATGAAAAATTTGTTGCTGATTTAAAAACAGTTCTTACAGCCGTTCACCTCAGCTCCATTGTATGGAATAGAAATTTCAGAGTTTGGTAGGATGATGTATGTGTACATAGAAACAATACATTTTTTGTAAACCCCACCAAGTCGCACATAATTTCTCTTGGGAAGAGATAATGTATGTAAGATGTAAAAATAAAAGCAATTATTTTCATAACAAAAGCTATTCAAATGCTCAACCACTTTTGCCTTCCTACTGCATAACTTGCCAGCAACTCTGACAGACATACCATTCACACAAACACTATTAATGTTTAAATGCTAGATGTCATTTACACATAGTTTGATCTTTTATGGCCATATCCAACTCTTACAGGCATCTAGTTTTTTAATAGCTTTGATTCAGCAACACTGCTCACACAATGGCTCTAGCAATACTCCTTGATTATCTAAGACTTAATTAGATCATCTTAATTAAATTTCAACTACTAACTTCTTTTTGTCATACATCCAGCCACTAAACTTCACTTGCTACTACACTGTTAGCTGCTCTCTAACAACATGTGATACACTAAACTCATTACAGAACCATATAAATATTGTTCTTGACAACATGCTGCTCTCTTAACATAGGAGGAAAGCCCAACCCCTTTTTGACATAGAGAATTCCATTAGCAGAGAGTAGATCAATACTGCTTCATCTCTGGATACAACATAATGCATTTACTGTCAGTTTTCTTGTATTATGTGTATGCTGTTAATTAATATGATTTTAAAATAAAAGTAGTATAGTTCTGCTTTGTTACATACGTGAAAATCTTTATTCATTTTTACATTTCAGATGATATCATTTCCTTGAGTACTTATGTGTTCTCTTGTATGCACATTCACTGGTAGGTTCTTCTGATGTTAGGCCAAGGTAAAACCTGAAAATGTTGGGGGGGAAAAAGAGTTATGGTCAAATAACTTCCAATTAAAACTTCTGTTTGAAATGTACATTGCTAAAAACAAATGCAACCCAGGAAACAAAATGGTTTAAAAGTAGTTTTGTATCTTCATATAAGCATTATGTATAAGAATTTGTATATGTAACTTATTTGCACGCACATGGAATGTGGCAGTATAACCTGCTGCAGTGTATTTCATACAGCTAAGGTTTTCTGAAATGAAAACATGGCATAGAATGTGTTTTGTGCAATGATGATGAAAGCTCTTTCTCCTAATGGCTAAATCATCTGTATCAATTAGAGGAACCCATAATTGAAATGTTCAGTGAACTACATGCAATTCTTCTAAAATTTTGATCATCAGATTCAGTCATGTGATAAACAGCAAAGAACATCACAGAACCTCCTTTGGTAATCTAATCAACTTCCATAATAAAACTTGTTACAAAGCTCTGCTCTCCTACTTCCACACAGAGAAGAAACTCTTTCCTCCATTGGTGAGAAATCTTTCATGTCCAGTTAATCTCCAGCTTAAATTTGTTATGACCAGTTTGTAGCTAATCATTCTATATCAGTACTGTTCTTTTGCTTAAATATTTTTCCTTCCTGCTTATGCCAAAGTTAGTGATATACTTACAAACTTCACTTGTGTTCTCTTTCATTGTCTGTTTTCCTAGATGGAGTCAAATGAATCTTATATTCTCTTGATGACTTAAAAAAATAGCCCAAATAAGCTAGGACCTTGATCCTAGGACCTAAGATCTTGTACAATCACACTGATGTATCACTTGCTTTCATGGAAATAACCTCACGCATTTTAGGCCTCACTTCCAGAACTTTTCTTCTGCCACTTCTGGTTAAGGAGTTTCTAGTTCAGAGCGGAAGATTCTTAGCTATTTTCAAGTTCAAAACCTTGCACTTGATATGCAAGACAAGATATTATAACACTTCTATTTAAATGCAAGCCAGACAACTCTTCCTATGTGTATCTGTTTTCCAAAATTAAGGTTATCAGCCATTCTTATTTATGCACTAAATAAAACACTCCTATAGATGTTAAGTGGCAGATTTTGCTTATAGACAGCTTCTAGTTTTATAGCCCTCCTTTCCCATTAGAAATTCTTTATGCACCCAACTTAATTTCTCATATGGCACTAAACTGAATCTTTTTCTTGGAGCGCAAATTAACACTAATTCATTTCCTTTGTCAGTAAAATAAATTATATTGAAAGGAAAAATAAATGAACAGAACCCAAAACAATCCCTCCCACAGATATACCTCTAATACAGGAAAGAATTTTCTTTCATGTTCTTTTTTATTCTGTGTTTTATTTTTTTTCCTAGGCCCCACATACTGCAATGGTTGCCCATAATGGGTTGCCCATAACGCTTTCTTGGGTTCTCTTTCAAATGTATTTCACTTCCAATCATGTGGCACCATTCTTGCTCTGACAGGTTTACTAAGGATCATTGCTAAAAGACTGCTTTAATACTTTCCAAGTATTTTCACACTTGAGACAAGGCCAGTTTTCTCATCAGTTTTCTAGTGGCAAAATGTTGGTGTAAGACCATTAATTAAATGTGTTATCGCTCTGGTTTTGACAGAACCCAACTGCATTACACATCAGAGCCAACTGCCTAGCCTGTATCTGTTCACTAAGAATTATTTTTTTTTAAGAGCTCTCATGAATTACAATCTTAAGCACTATTTCCAAAGCACAGTTACCTCTACAAATGAATTCTGCAACCCGAGTGGCTCTTTAAGCCAGTCTGGTAGCCTGGGAGTTGCTCAGCTTTTTGCTTTTCTTTTTTTGCTTACATTTTTGTCTGCTGACAGCCATGTAGCGCTTGACTTTCCAGTGGTATGTAGTACAGTGGGCATGCACAACGCTGCCTCAAATCATAGCAAGAGTAGGTCTAACTACTGGGAGAGTAAGAAATGTTCGTCAGGACTCTCACATAAAGAATTTTCCTGTGTGCTTGCCTATGATGACCATGCCAATAAAAACAGACCTTAGAAATACCGAATGCCCTGAAAATCGGCAGGAACTCAAACGTGGATATACAAGTCAATTACGAAGTTAGGATGTATTGTACAAAATGTTACCTTCTGTACTATAGTCTAATCTTCTACCACCAAGTTCTTTTGCATTTTGCTATTATAATCAGACACTTGCAAAAGATGGCTTTTCCCTGACCTAGTTAGTTCTGTCTGCTCATAACCGCAGTTATATATTTTGGGGGAATTGCAAATAACATTTTTGAACAATTTTTCTGAGTAGGCATACGGTATGAAGTAAGAGAAAGAAGAGACTGAAACATCTTTTGTTAAGAAAAGCAAACCTGTACTGATTTTACTCTACGTGGACACTGTAACTTTAAAGAAAATAATGAGTCTTGATGATAACTAATATTACTAATACTCATTTTTTACTGTACAGTTGTTTAACTGCATGATTAGAAGCAGTTATATATATGCAAGCTTGATTATTTTCATGTAAATATGTGGCTGGCTAATGGGGAGTTGCTGCTTAGCAACTGGAGCAGAGAAAGGGGTGCTTGCTTTAGAACAGGAAACTGAATAAAACCTTGCAGAGTACACACAGCGTTTGAAGATACCATAGAAAATGGGTGGCAGTGCTCTGCAACCATGATGCTTCCTTTTGTAATTACTCACATCCTAGGATGTCAGCATTTTCAGGTAGTAGAGGATAAACTCCATCAAAAATCATTTATAATGATAATATAATCATAATAAATGATAATAATAATAATAATAAATGATCATAATAAATGATAATGATAAATAATCATTTATAATTAATAGATGTGCACAACGTGAACAAACAACAAATAAGGTAAGTACTAAGGACAAACCCTGACACGCAAGCTAAAACGTAGGAAAATCCAGACACAGACTTTGTTTCTGCTCTCTACTGTAACGGTTAAATTGACAATGCTATCGATGCTCCTCAGACCTCAGTGCCTTAAACTAGTGATCAACTTATGCTACCATAAGCCAATACTGCTGGAAGAAGCCTTCTTTTTTGCTCCCTGTTACTCAAACTCAGCCCCTGCTCTGTCTTCTCCGCTGTGCAAGCACAGGCATTTCTACATTTATAATGAGGCAGATGATGGACCTGATCTAGGTTAAAACCAAGCCAACACTTTTAGTTGGATCACCTTTACCTGGATCAGCATCTGAATTGAGTTTATTATGCAGTCGCTCCACTACTAGAAGGAGGAAGGAGGGGACCTGTCCTGACAGTGCTGGCTCAAACCTTTTGTGAAAACACCTTCTCATCCTGGTGTGACCGCACATCCTTTGTGTGACTGCAAGAAGAATATGAAAGCAGAAGTGTGCTCTATGAAATGAAGAGAAACTGAAAAAGTGTATCTCAGAGGAAGTACTAAAGAGATGTCTCCATGACTGAGACTACTACTTGGATCACACTATTTGCATCAAGAAGGAAAGTCCCGTAGTTTTTTCCTAAGGTCTCTTACAACATTTTCAGGAATTGAAAGATCATATGGACAGGAATCTGGCTGCAGTTTAGGTATTAGTGTTGTCTCAGTTCTGTCATCTTCCTTTTTCAACAGTTCCTCTTAATTCAAAACATAGCCCTCCCTGATTTAACAAACAAAAATGTTTAGTTGTAATAGAAGAGCGAATTACGTGCTTTAGTGACTCCTGGCTCATGCTTCTAAAAAGTGATTCCTGATATCTACACTATGCTATTGTGGGAAACCGCTTCCGCTTCAGCAGAGCTGACAGACGTGAACTTGTGCCTGCACATCAAGCACAATGCTTGTTTAGAAGAAGCCAGAATATTCAGCAGCTTAAATGCCTTGGGTTATGTACCAGCTCAGCTGAGGTGCAGGTACATACTGTGTTCTGTTGCCTGGGTATATATACCAACAGAATACAGCAGTGGATCAGTATCTCACAGAAATGAACTGCTAGTGTTGTAGTATCTTAAGGGGTAACACAGCACATCTGTTGGTGTTGAAAGCCATTAAGCAGTCAGTGAAGTAAGAGTGGTGGGAAGATGCAATACTCAGGAATTCAGACAATCATGTAGACAGAAAGACAAGAGCGTGGAAGGGAGTGGTGCCCATACTGAAGTTCTATGGAAAATCAGGGAAATGCAGCAATTAAGCAACAGTACCAAATGCATTCAAATAGCAAGGGCTGGAAATACTGCTTAGCAACATGTTCCACCCGTGACCTCCTAGTGATTTATTAGTCTTCATGAAAATCAGGCGTTTCTAAAAAGAATATTCTTTAAGTTCCAAAGGGTTTCTAAATACCAGCCTGTCAAAAAAAAAAAAAAAAAAAAAAAAAGAAGTTGTAGCTCAGTTATATTTTCAATGTAACAGTTTGGGTTTTAATCCTACTGCAACTCCTCACTTCTGTGATGCAAGACTTCTTGAAGATGAGGTGACTTGACATTTTTTACTTGTGTTTGCATAAAAGCAAGCTTCAGAAGGAAAAGAGGGGCAGGCCAGGGGAAACAGACAGTGTACAAAGGGAGAGCAGGACAGCAGCTACCCTTGAAGCAGACAGGCAAGCTTCCTGCTCATTACAGTGAAAAAAAACGAAGGGTAGCAACTGCCTGGCCTGTCTTTTGTTTAAGTCTAAAACCAAAACATATGTAAGGAAAATGTGAAACAGATGTTCCACATATTGGACTTCTGTCATATTTTACAGATTTGTACATTTGTCTCCGCGCCATCCAGCCCTGCACCCATATGTAACATCGTAATTCTGGGTACATCTACCAAGATTCTGCTTTTTTAGAGGCAGTCCTTGCACACAGTCAACTCTTCTGGTATTTTTTCCCCAAAGCCTCAGCTCCCAGACAAAGACACTACAAGAGAGAACACAGCTGGAGGCGTTGGTTACCATTTTAAATCAAAACCCACCCTAATGAGCCGAAAATTATGAAGTGAGTTCTCCTAGCGGCCCAGGGACCAAATAAAGAGCCCTAAATCCCCCCGATTCTCACTCAAATCACAAACGGGGGCTGAGACGCACCTAGCTTCCACAACTCTTTATTTTTTTCCCCATAACTTAACGCCGGTTTCCTAGGCGATTCCCCACTTCTGCTGGGATTCAAGCAGCAAAGCGCCTCACCCCCACCCCCTCAGCGAGACAAGGTCGAACGCTGCGGCGTTCGGGCACGGCACGTCCCGACCTCCCCTCGCGGCGCGGGGCACAGAGCGGAGCGGCAGTTGTGAGGAGAGGGGCGGGTCGCGAGCAGAGCCCGGCCCAGCCTCCGGCCCAGCCCCGCCGCTCCGCCGCAGCGCGCCCGGCCCCGCCCCGCCGCAAACCAACCGCCGCCCTGTGCTCGGCCGCCCGCCGGAGGGGGCGCACTGCTGGGCGGGAGCGCGGCCCGGGCGCTGCGGTGCGGCCCCGCGGGCGGCGGTTGGGGAACCTCGCGGCTGCCCTCAGCACTTCCCGGCCGCCCGCCGTGCTTTTATTTTGTATCTCGGCGCCGTTAATCCCCGCCGCGTGCCGACTCACCTTCCCGCAGCGAGGCGACTCGGCATCCAAAATGGCGGCCGGCCCGCCTTAACCCAATGGCGGCGCATCGGCGCTCCCCGGTCCGCCCCACCGGCGGCTCGGGCTTCCGCAAGCCTCGCCCCAAGCCCGCCCGGACGAGCGCCGAGCCGCCGAGCCGCCGAGCCCCCTTCCTGAGGGAGCGGCCGGGGCAGAGCGGCGGGCGGACATTTTTCTCACCCCCCTCCCCTCGTTCCCGGGGCGGGATGCGTGTGCGTGAGCCCCGCGTCCTCCCCCCGCCGCTCCCCGAGTGGTTGCGCCCGTGACATCATCATCATGGCAACAACAGCTGCAGCCCGGAGCTGGGGCGCCGCCGCCGAGGCGTACGCGCTGCTGCGGGGGGAGCAGCCCGCGCTACCCCTCAGGCGCCGGCGACCGGCGGGGCTCTAGACTCTGACGTGGGGGGGGGCGACCCCGAGCGGGAGCGCGCGGCCCGCGCACGCGCCCGGCGCAGCAGCGGGCGGAGGGGGGGAGCGAGCGGGCGGGCGGGCGAGAGGCGGACAGAAGGAGACGGCGCGCGCCTGTGTGGGGCTGCGCGCGCCGAGGAGGGGCGGGCGGGCGGGCAGGGGGCTGCGCTCGCTCCCTCGCTGCGGCGGGGGGGGCTCCGCGCCTCGCTCAGTGCGCGCCTCGGCGGCGGCGGCCAACACCATGTTCTCAGTGAGGATCGTGACCGCCGACTACTACATGGGCAGCCCGCTGCCCGGCCTGGACCCCTGCCAGTCGCACTTCCGAGAGGCCCCGACCCGGCGGGTGCCCGTCGTCAGAGTGTTCGGTGCCACCCCCGCAGGTAAGGGACCCTAAGGCGCTGGGCCGCGCTTTGTGGCGGGGAGGGGGCGCGGCCCCCTCCCCACCTGCCCGAGCCCGGCCGCAGGTGCGCGGCCCGCGGGGCTTTGTGCGCGGCGCGGCCCGGCCGGAGCTGCCCGAGCGCCGGAGCCGTGCATGCGGCGGGGCCGCGGCGCTTTCTTCCCTCCACCGCTCCCCCCCCACTCCTCCGCGGGGACGGCCCCAGGGAGCGGCGGCCCCGTGCTGCACTGCGGGGCACGGCCGCGGGTCGGCCCCGGGGGCGCCCTCATGTCACGTTCCCCCCCTCGGCGTGGGGTCCCCGCAGCCCGGGCGGCTCTGACCGTGAGCGCCCTCACGGCCGCGGCGTTCGGGAGCGGGATTCGGTATCGATTCCGGGTGCGCCGTGCGTGAATCGAAGTTTAAAGCGAAGGGCTGTCCTCGTTTGGGGGTTGGACGTGCGAGGGATCGCTGCCGCGTTCCCTTTATGCTCGCGTTGTGTAATGCTGACCTTGGGAATTAAGGTATTTCTCTGTATTTTATTGACGCGTTGGAAATAAAGCGTTGCTCCCATACATCAGGCGTGAGGCGAGACAAAAAAAAAAAAAAAAAAACGCGTGATAGAACGGCACGGTGTATTTCGTTCCATTATACAGAAAAACATGCTGTTTTACGGTTATTTTGTTTTACATTTACCTGCTCTCAGATCAGAGGAATGTGTGCTACAAAAGCTTCTGTGATCTGGAGCATCTGTGGCTCCAAATCACCAAGTGGATGAGTGGGATTAACAGGCACAGCCCTGGAATAGTGGGACCTTCTTCTATTGTAGCTCTAATTTTGCATACAAAGGAGATATTATGTAATAATATTTATGTAATTGCACGAGTAGCTATTTCATTATTAAAAAATGTAGAGCCCGAGGTTGTCTGGCAGGTATCAGGCTGTGTGTGCGTGTGTGTGGTTAATGCATTAAGGCTCATTTTCCTGAAAGAAAATGTTTGGGCTATGCCGTATCATGAATGTGGCATCCTAAAGTAAACAGCGAGGCAGTTTAGGTGTCTGGCTGTTAGGAGTGCAGCAGGAAACCCTTAGCTTCCCAAACCAACTTTAATATTACTTTACATAATAGAAGTGTTTCTAATTCATGTTGGTTAGAAAACACGTTTTGCTCTGCTGTGCAGAGGAAGCGTGACTTGGCTATCATCTGCTTAGTTCCTTGCTGAACTTTTTAATGGCTTTTTTTTTTTTCTTTTCTGTATTTGTAACCTTTGTTAATAAGCTTCAGGAGCTTCTCACTGCATCTCAGCCTTATTTTTTCTTTTTTCTTTTTTTTTTTTCCCCAAACATCATCATGTCTGCAGAGGTGTTGAAGTAAGCATGTTGTTGTCAGAAGCAGCGTACCTGGTTTCAGAGAGAGGGTGACGCTTTGCTTGAGAGTCAAAAAAAGAAAATGTATAATCGCTGACATCTCTGTTAACACTTTCTTCAGGATAAAGAAACAGTAAAAACAACTTCTAATATACCCACATAGGGTCTTGTTATGTGTGCTATTGTTTGGCTTACAGACAGTGTGATTCTTGTCCTTGATTCAGTTGGTCTGGCTAGGAAAATCCCTTCTCATTGGGCTTAACTCGTGTACCTTGCCTGCAGGACAGGTGTTCAGTTGCTGCCCTGCTGGTGTAGTAGTAAACCATTGCACCTGTGTAGGCTGCCACACCTCTGGCACAGTGAGCTCTGCATGAATCTTGGTGTGCTTAAAGCCATGTGGCTGTGCCGCCCAGCTAACTGGGAATCAAGGTCAAACCAGGCTCCAAATTCCACCTACTGAGTGCTTGGAGTTGGATTGATGCGTGCAAATGATTTGTATAGATGTTCACAAAGTTAATGTCTGGCAGTACTGTACCCAGTGTCAGGCATGGACATTGGTTCTGAGAGCGCTTGCTCTTTCTACCTCTGCTGTGTTCTCAAAGGTGTATGAATGAGAGGATTCTCAATGTTCTTATCTTTGATGACTTTTTTTTCCTTTCTGTAATCCTGTGTTTAAGAATCACTTTGGAATGGTTTGCCAGTATGATCTATGAAATTGAAGTGGTTTGTGGTAATGGTGGCTGGGGGAAGTAAAGAGAGACTTCTGTTTAAAAGTAGTGGAGGAATGAACTCTTGGAATGGACTGTTCTTGCTATAATGCTTGCCAATTTCTGTAGGTCTTCTGGAGATGGAATTGCATTCTATTCCAGAAGACCCATGCACGTCATCTTTTGGTATCCTACATTTTTGCTTAGTAAGAGCTAAAAAGGCAAGGACTCAAAAAGCTCTTTAAGCAGAATCCATCTGCTATTCTGTTTTCTCATGATGTATGAAGAGTAAAATTCTGGCTACGATAGCAAATAGTGAAGTAAAACACTGTGAGAAATGCTGTTTGGATTCAGCTGGGTTAAGCCACTTCACTCCATTTTAGCATGTGATTCTTGCAGCAGACTTTCATGTCTGTTAACATAATGAATTGGACGTAAGTAAAATTTCAGAAATGCTGCAACACTGCCATGATGTTAATACAGTGAAAGCAGTATTAAATTCGTGCTTTGTTGTATAAGATCATAGATACTATTTGATGTAGTTGTTTTTGCATTTCGAAAGGAGTCTCATGATCCAGCTATTTGTATTTAAAACCAGTGGGCTTTAATTCACTAGCTAATGCTCAGGTATGAAACAAAATTTCAGTTATCTTCTCAGGCAGCATTTCTGGTCTGCTGGCTGGAGGTTGTTGTAAGTGCTTTTTATATTTAAAAAAAAAAGTTTGAGGAATTGCAAGGTCTATTTGTAACAATGGGAAGTATACTGAAAATTGGATTTTCTGTTTACGTACAGTCTTCTGTTTCATTGGTGATTCCTGATTTGTCATTCCTGTTACTAAAGTGTGGTATTGAGGCTGTGATTTATTCCTTGGCCTTCTCAAGGTCTTGGAGTTTTTCCTCAAGGTTTTACTGGCTGCCTTAATAGCAGCATGCGAGTGCTCGGCTGGGTGTTTCTGTCAGGTGTTGTTCAACTGCTGGAAGACAGAACCGAACTGTAAATCCATCCATAAAGGTATCAGGATAAGAGTACGTCATGTTATGTAGGATGTTAATAAATGAGCTGCAGTTGCTAAATTAATGACTTTGCTTAACAACGCTGTGTACGAGTAGCTGAGGATACTCTAAAACCACATTCTAGATACCTCTTGGTATGTGATAATGAGTATTGTAAAATGTGTAGTCAGAATGCTTGAAGTCACAGTTCTGATTTGGGGGTGATTTGAGGCTGATATACAGGATAAATTTTTACAAAATAGGTGTACAGTTTGAAATTGCTTTAAAGGGCCGTAGGCTTTTAATTGATGAAAGAGTTAGGAGAAGTCAGGTTAGAAATTTACCTAGAGAAAGCAATGTGTGGTTTGAGGAATAATATGTCTGCCATCCTCAACTGCAGATATTTGTCTGTTTTTGAAGACTTCTGTATTTTATATAATGAAATTGCTGATCCACAAATGAATCTTTCTTCAGGGCAGCACGAAAAGTCACCCACTTACAGCTTTTCAGGTGGGCGGCTGAGTTTGGTGGCTTTGCTTTTCCTTGTCTTTCTCAGAGGAAAAAAGCAGAGGCAAATGCTCCAGCTGAGATCTGGCTCCCTTCCAGAGGCAGTAGCTCTGGTATGACTCAGTGAAGGGGCCTGCTTATCTTCCTTTGTTTTTCCCTCCCCTTTCCCCCTTCCCTGACCTGGCAAAGCTGTATATCTGATCCCATCCCAGTGTCTTTCTCTCCTCCCTTGCTTCTCACTTGAGAAGGAATGAGCTCATCACAGGAACTTGCTGCTTTTTGTGCCCAGCTTGTGATTAACCGTTTTCCCTCCCTTCATTCTCACCACTATTCCAGACACTTTGTCCAGCAATAATCATTCCCCACAGCCTCCTCTGGTCATGATCCCAGTGTTTACAGCTAAGGATCATTCCAGATGCTGCTGCTTTCCATTTTCCAGAAGTGGGCATTTCTCATGACGAAGACTTCCAGGCTCTTCGTTTGAGGGTACGAGGCTGCAAAATAGGGCACAGCTGCTGTGGCCAAGACTTACCTCTTCATCATTGCCCTCAACATGTACAACTCTTGTTGGGGGTTGCTGTGGATTGCAGCACGGCCTGGAAGATTTTCAGCCTCCAATTTCTGCATCTCATGGTGGCAGGTTTCTCACACCGCTGAAGAGCCATTTGAAAAATAACCTCATACTGATTCATTTCACTTTTCTCCAGAAATTTATA